ACGTCAGGCGAATAAACATATTGTCCCAGCTATCGAGTCTTCTTCTTCTTCTTCTTCTCAAAAGCCTTTGTATCACAACACGTTCTATCTCCGACCAGGCTGCGTGAAGGGTAACAAGCCAACTGCATGGACCTTGGACTGTCAAAAGCACCTGACAGTGTAGATGTCGTAAATTGCTTACTACCTCTCGGCAAAAGCGACCAGGTAGTACTACAGTGGGAGTATTCACTATTTTCTGTACCTGAACGTAGCGTGACCGTCAGACACAACATATGGTGCGGAATCTTTACTCAAATGAGAACCGAAGTGCGCAGGTTAGATTGGAAGGAGGCAATCACGGGGTGTGTCCACGGGGATTGGTCGGCGTTTAAGGCCGTATTACACGGACTAATTAGCGGTTTCTGCCCTATCTCGAAAACGAAAGCCACAAATAGGCCCCTGGGCCTAAGCAACACACTGAACAGGGAGTTAAATCGTAAACGAAAGCTATGGCAATTATATCTTGGAGAGGAGACCACTGAGTTGCAAAACAAGACAAGGTGCAGAGAAATAGGGTTAAGGGTGTTGTACTGAAAACCTGCCAAATCTTCAAAAGTGACCTAATAAACCGTGCAGTAGGAAATCCAAATTTCTTCAACAACAACGTTAGGCGATCCACTCGAAATAGAGGCCCTTTGTTAGAGACCCTTTGTGAAAAAACAGAAATGTAAGTGGGTGCTTCACAAAGATGCAGCTTCCTCCACCTCGGCCATTGTTACGATCACTTTGAATGCAAGCATAGCCTAGAACAGAGAGTTCGAAGTCAGCTACACAGGGCGATGCCCATGTTTCTGTTACCATAACAATGTATGGGCGGTTTACGAAGACCAGAGTCTGGAGCAGAGGCATCTTATTTAGTAGTGACCTGGCATTCAAAACTAACAGTTTAAGGGATACTTCTTTGGTTACTACGACAGCTCAGCTAGGCCAAAATTGCTTGTGGTGTCTTCTGAAGCCGACCTCGCATTGGCTGAGACTATACTGAACGTATTCCTGACATTCAGGTTACGCTCAGCAGTATTTTTAAAAGAGGAAAACTTGGTGGCGGAAAGAGAAACTGCAGGGGAGAAGCAAAAGTTGAAAAACTAATTGGCCCTGGTCAACAATTTGTCCAGTAGTTATTGTTAAATGAACTATGATTATTTTAGAAAGTCTTTATTTGGGGAACCAAGTAAAGGAAGGCTAGATTATGGCATGGGAAAAATAGGCTGGGCCACAAAAATAGGATATTGAGGCATTTTAGCATAATTTGCTGCCAAATGTACATGTGGAAATGTGTTTGAAGTGCTAGCAGTAGGGACATTACCAATTTTGACAACTGACTTAGATTTACCAGATAGATTCTTAGTTCTACCTGATTTACAGCTATCATAGGCGTGTGTTGCTTAGAAGGGGAACGACTTGGCGTTGCCACAGTTTCCCTCGAAACATGAATAAAGTGAACGAGTGAGGATTTGGATGAAATCGCCGTTTTTCTCGTTTTGCTTAGGTTGACGCAGACTTACTAATATTTTCTAATTAGGGTAAAACCTGACGTTACATCAGAGTTTTATCTCTGCAAATGAATATATTTTTTTCCTTTAAGTATTGAGCTGAGCGCTCATGCTGGGAGAAGATATTCTCTACTTTTTCTGCCGACAACACTCTGACGAGGATCGGCGGTTCTTGTACTCCGCGATGACAACCTTTTAGCTTCTGCGACTTTAAATTTAAAACAACAAGAAATAAGAAACCGATAGGCGACATCGAGGGGTTGTTTACTTTGAGGGAACATTTTTCAAAGGAAAATTAACATTTCCCTTTTGCCTGTCACAGGTCTCAGTAGGCACCATATTTACGAAAGGCTCTTGTTTCTCATATTACTGAAAAGTGAGTGAAAATATCTTTCCATCAAAGACGGCACCAAGAAACGTAAACAAACACCTATTTAAATTGTCCAAAGCACCAAGACCAAGCTTCTACATGCTTAGGACGGGTTCATCCTTTGGATAGCTTACACTAATGGATGATTTGCCTCCGAGTTGTGACTGAGAAGTCAATATTGAATAAGAGATATCGGTATTTTAAAT